CTGTGATAGAGACCCGCCACCGCTCCATCGCCCAGGTGAGCGGTACCGTCCCGGTCCCTATCTTTCAGGGTTGTGCCCCCGCTCAGTGTACCTTCTCCGACGGCTCTGCCGCTGTGGCTGAGACTGCTGCTGCAGCGCAGTTTCGTTCGGGGAAGGGCCGCCGCCCCAAGGTTGGGCGCGGCGGAGGAGGTGGGGGTGCGGGAGTGGGTGGTGGTGGGGTCGGGTCGTCTGGTGCTGGAGCGGACGAGGGGACCCTGCTCAGTCCAGCTGAGCCGCTGCCCCTGCAGTTGCAGCAGCCGCAGCAGCCGCCGCAGTCGCAGCCTTCGCAGCAGCCGCAGCAGCCGTCGCAGACGCGGCAGACGAGTGTCCTCCCGCCCGGGTGGCCCGGCGCTGGCGGTGGTCGGGCGCGTGGTGGTGTGCGGAGTGGTGGCTCGGGCGGCGGGCGTTGTCAGTACCAGATCCAGACCGGTCCTCGCCGCGGCTTCGTTTGCGGTAAGATCGGTCACTCCACTCACCGCTGTTTTCATCGCCTGGACGACCTCTTTCGTCAGTGCTTCGGCCCGTCGCCAGACCTCCCGGACTGGCATAGTTTGCTTAGTCGTCAGATTCAGATTTTTTATCTTCACATGGATGCCATTGTTTCTGCTCTGCATGTGATGTATGCTGATGTCTCTAGTGTGCTTCCCGCTTATTACTCACTGTTGCCTAGTGTAGGTGTGCCTAGCTTAGCCTCCCCTGCTGCGTCAGGCGTAGGATCCCCTGCTTTGTGTAGTCTTGGTGCTTCCACCGTCGTTCCGTCGCCAGACGCCTCTGCTTCGCTTTCCTTCACTTTGGACTCTGGCGCTTCTCGGTGCTTCTTCCGCGACTCCACCACCCTGACGCCGCTTCCTGTTCCTGCTGCTGTTTCTCTTGCTGACCCCTCCAGCGGTCCGGTAGTCGCCCGCAGTTCCACCACCCTTCCCTGTCCGGCGGTTCCTTCGGGCACTCTCACAGGTCTGCATATCCCCTCGTTCTCCAGGAACCTAGTTGGTGTCGGCTGCCTCCAGGACCTTGGCGTCACCACTACGTTCCCTGGTCACGAGCGGTATGCTGTCTGTACCGAGGCCGCCACTGGTGCCCCCCTGTCCACGTTCCCTCGGGACCCGGTGTCCGGCCTGTTCACTCTGGACACCGTGACCCCCCCGGCTGGAGCGCTCACCCAGGTTGCTGCCGCCTGCTCCTGTCGGTCCCTCACTCACCCGACCCTCCTTTGGCACCACCGCCTAGGTCACCCTGCGCTCCCGCGTCTGCGTCACATGTCCCAGCACGGTCTTGTCCTTGGTCTCCCAGGTTCTCTTCCCGCGTTTCCCTCCTCCCCAGCCCCACCTTGCACGCCTTGTGTCGAGGGTCGGCTTCGCCGTGCCCCTCACTCCTCCTCGTTTCCCCCTACCGCCGCGCCGTTGCAGACCCTGCACCTGGACGTCTGGGGCCCCGCCCCTGTCCCTGGGCCGCGTCGAGAGCGCTACTTCCTTGTGCTTGTCGACGACTTCACTCGTTACACCACAGTCTTTCCCCTAGAGCCAAGGCCGACGTGCCTGGCGCTCTCATCCCCTGGCTTGTCTCTGCGCGTGTCCACTGTGGTCTCCCTGTCTTGCGTCTTCACTCAGACCGTGGTGGCGAGTTTGCCTCAGGTGTCCTTGGTCGCTTTTGTCGTGCGGAGGGCATCACCCAGACGTTCACCCTACCGGACTCCCCACAGCAGAATGGGGTCGCTGAGCGACGCATCGGTTTGGTCATGGAGGTGGCTCGCACCTCCATGATCCATGCCGGTGCACCCCATTTTCTGTGGCCGTTCGCTGTGCGCTACGCTTCTCACCAGCTTAACTTGTGGCCGCACCCTCAGCGGCCTCCGGCACGGACAAGCTCACTGCCCGCACCCTTCCCTGCGTCTTTCTCGGTTTTCCCCTTGACACGTCCGCCAGGCACTTTTACCACCCGCCGTCTCACCGCTTCTTTCACTCTCGTGACGTCACCTTTGACGAGTCCGTCTCCTACTACCGCCGCTTCCCCCACCGTGGTCCCCTGGTTACCCCCCCCCTGTTCCTGGTCCCTCCTTCACCGGTAGTCCCTGCCCCTCCTCCTCCTCCTCCCCGTCCCGCCCCCTCTGGTGTGTCCCACATCACCCCCCTTCCGTCGGTGGACCCGGTTGAGGAGTCTTCTGACTCTGGTGGCCCTCCTATGCAGTCCTCGCCAGCCGCCCCTCCCCTGGCGTCCCCTCCCCAGTCCCCTCTTCCACCGCCTCTGCCGCCGCTGCAGCCGTCGTTGCCGCTGCCGCCGTCGCCGCCGCCGCCGCCGTCGCAGCACCCGTTCGCTGACTCTGGGGGTGCTCGTCCCGGTAGCCCTGGGGGTGGTCCCTCTGGGGGTGCTGGTGTGGAGAGTGCCGGGGGTAGCCGAGGAGCAGCTTGCGGTCCCGGTGTCGCCGTTGTGCCGCCGCAGCAGCAGTCCCCGCCGGTGTCAGCCCTTCGCCTGCTCGGCCTGCCGTCCCCCGACCCTGCGTCGGTTCCTCCCCGACCGTCTCCTCCTCTTCCTGTCTACGGCCCTCTTTTCCCTCCGCCGGACTCGTCCCCGGCACGTCTCCCCCCTTGTTCCCCTCCTGTGTCCCCTCCTCTGTCTCCTGACCCGACTCCTCCGTCGCACGTCTGGTCTCACCGTCCCTCCCGTGCTTGTCCTGCCTCGCCTGTCCTGCGCTCCCACCCTATGTTGCTTCGTTCCCACGCGTCTCGTCCTCCCCTTCTGCCGTCGCCTCCCCCGTCCTCCCTTGTTGTTGCACCCCCCCCGCTGTCTGACTACCTTCGTGCCGCTCGTCCTCTTGTTCCTCGCGTCCTTGCCTCTCTCGTTACTGACCCGTCTGTTCCGGCCTCGTGCCTTTCCGCCCTTGTCGCTGCTGTCGCTGACTTCGCCTCTACCCGCCGCCTTGACTACGCCTCCGCTCTGGTCTCTGACCCTGCCTGTCCTCCGGCTGTCGGGGGTGCTCCTGCCCTTGGCAGTGACGTCCTGGAGGACCGCCAGTTCGAGCTTGCTTTCCTCTCCGAGGCTGCTCCCCATCTCTGTTCCATGCTGCTAGTCCCTGAGGGTGACCCAGACGCTTTCGACATCCCGACCCCTCGCACTTACGCTGAGGCGACCTCGGGACCCTGGGCCTCTCAGTGGATAGCTGCCATGGAACAGGAGATGGCATCTTGGAGATCCACCGGCACCTTCGTCGACGCAGTTCCCCCGCCTGGGGTGAACGTAGTCGATGGCCGCTGGCTCTTCAAGGTGAAGCGCCCTCCTGGAGAGCCGCCTGTGTTCAAGGCGCGCTATGTGGCTAGAGGCTTCAGTCAGCGCGAGGGGGTGGACTTCTTCCAGACCTTCGCTCCGACCCCGAAGATGAATTCTCTTCGGGTTCTGTTTTACCTAGCTGCTCAGCGTGACTACGAGCTTCACTCCCTCGACTTCTCCACTGCCTTCCTTCAGGGCAGCCTACACGAGCAGGTCTACCTACGTCGCCCTCCGGGCTTTACTGGCACCTTCCCTCCTGGGACCCAGTGGCTCCTGCAGCACCCCATCTACGGCCTGCGCCAGGCTCCCCGTGAGTGGCACGACACTCTCCGTGCTACGCTTGCTGACCTGCAGTTCTTTCCGTCTTTCGCAGACCCTTCGCTCTTCGTTCATGCTGGCCAGACTCCGTTCTACATCCTTGTTTACGTCGACGACCTGGTCTTTGCCACAGCAGACAGGGACGCACTGGCCTCCGTGAAGGCAGAGCTGCTGAAGAGACACACCTGCACTGACCTTGGAGAACTGCGCCGTTACCTTGGCTTGCAGATCTCCAGGGACAGAGCTGCGCGCACCATCACCCTGACTCAGTCACACTTGGTGCGCCAGGTCCTTCAGAGGTTCAGCCTTCAGTTCTCCTCTGCACAGCCCACCCCTCTGCCTGTAGACCACAGGCTCTCCGCTCCAGTGTCTGAGGAGTTGGTAGAGCCTAGCGGCCCCTACGCAGAGCTGGTGGGTTGCCTCATGTACCTGATGACTTGCACTCGCCCAGATCTCGCATACCCTCTCAGCATCCTGGCTCGTTTTGTGGCCACAGGCAGACACCGACCGCAGCACTGGTCTGCCGCTAAGAGGGTTCTGCGTTATCTTGCTAGTACATTGGGCATGGGGTTAGTGCTAGGAGGACGCAGGCCAGTGGTCCTTACTGGACACACAGACGCTTCGTGGGCAGACGACGCCGAGACACTCAGGTCTACCCAGGGCTACTGCTTCAGCCTTGGCTCAGGTGCCGTCTCGTGGAGAGCTACCCGCTCCTCGTCTGTGGCGCAGTCCAGCTGTGAGGCTGAGATCTACGCTGGTGCCATGGCGGCACAGGAGCTCCGCTGGCTGACCTTCTTGCTCACTGACTTAGGTGAGCGGCCTAGCTCTGCCCCGGTCCTGTTCGTTGACAACAGGGCCATGATCCTCCTGTGTCAGGAGCCTCGACTTGAGGGCAGAGCGAAGCACATTCAGCTGCGGTACTTCCTCCTGCGTGAGCTACAGCAGCGACGTCAGGCTCGCGTAGTACACTTGGCCTCAGGTGCCAACACGGCTGATATCTTTACGAAGGCGCTTGCGCCTAAAGATCATCAGCGGCACTGTGTACAGCTTGGTCTAGTTCCTGTAGCCTCTCACTTGCTAGGACCTTGACTTTGTACTGTCCTTTATATGTATACTCAGACTGGACTTGTGTCCTCTCCCAGTGGCTGGACTAGTAGTGCCGCCCTGCTCTTGTTCTTGCCTTGTCTGTACTCCTTCTGACTGGTCTCTCAGACCCTTGTCTCAGAGGTTGGACTAGTAGTGCCGCCCTGAGCTGCTTGTTTAGGACATTCCCCTATGCAGTCTAGGGGGTGTGTCAAACATGTGTATTTGTCATGTTTGTATAGACTGTATAGGGTAGCCTCTTAGAGGGTACAACACTTAGGTATATCTGTGTGTACCCTCTCTCTAACATCATTCACTTCTTCAATTTCTGATAAGCGATTCTAAAACGAATTAGCTGGAAAACGGTTCTTCGAACACGCTCTCAGGCGATCGCCGATTTTGGGAAGATAGCCTGGGAAGAGGCTGGTAGGAACACGCTCTAACATAAAAAACTGGTCTGATTTTCAGACCATCATTCCGATTTGGTCTGATAACGAGAGCCCTGGTTTGAACATGAGATGAGTAGAGGGGATGGAAATTGCCGAATCGTTCCTGCCAACCTGTTCAGGGCCGTGAGGTATGGTCGAAACTACGGTGCTCCCTCATCTCGCTGTCCAAAAAATTGTTTTGCCGCTGTGTTTCAAGGGCTCTCTCGCTATTGTCAGCCCCCAAGCAGCAGTGGCAGCAGCGTGGCAGAGTCGCCTAGAAACCTCCATTGAGCGAGCGGCGAGAGCGGGGTGGCCTCCGCATTGACCTCCGCCACCTGCCCCCCTGCCCGCCGCACCGCCCGCGCAAACCCCGCCGCTGGCTGAGCATGGGACAGAAGAGTTGGAGGACAGGGGGCGAGAGGGCAGAGGGGATGAGGAGCGAGACAGCAGGGGAGCGAAGAGGAGGGAAGGGGGGGTGTAGATGGAAGCGGGTAACGACATGTGACTGATAACATTGTGCATATGCCTACATGCACATAGCATGACAAGCACACACCCATGCATGCACACAGCATGGCAAGCACACACCCATGCATGCACACAGCATGGCAAGCACACACCCATGCATGCACACAGCATGGCAAGCACACACCCATGCATGCACACAGCATGGCAAGCACACACCCATGCATGCACACAGCATGGCAAGCACACACCCATGCATGCACACAGCATGGCAAGCACACACCCATGCATGCACACAGCATGGCAAGCTCACACCCGTGCATGCACACATGCAGCCTTACATGCACAACCCCCGAGGTTCCAACAACAAGAAGCAGGTCACAACCGGTGAGGGCATCGTCCACTGCTTGCAGCACCCCAGGGTCAAGACACTCCCCAAACCAAACCACGTCCGGCCGAAGCAACCCATTGCAGGCTCGGGCCGAGGCTGCAGCCGCTGGCAACTTTGAGCAGCGTGGCAAGTCCTTGAGGGGTATGCTTGCTCCCCTGGCAGACGGGTCAGGCGCACCCTGCAGGGGGACAGAAGGGCGTTGATGATGATGGGGATGATGGGATGATGGGGATGAGATGGCAGCATGGGTGGGTGACAAGATCGAGAAGAGCAGTTGACGATACAAGCAACCTTCCACCCGCCTTCTCCGCCCACCCCCCGCCTAAGCACTTTCTCCCCTCACACTTCGCACCCCTCCCACCCTGCCCGGTCCTCACAGCAGCTCGTTCCCACCACCTCCCTGTACTACCTTGCCATCCAGAGCAGCGCAGATGGGTTGAGTGCGGTTCTCAGCGACATCCCCGCAAGCGAGGCAGCGTGTGCGCCAGAGGCAGCCGTGCAGCTCGACCAGCGCGCTGCTGCCGGCTGCTGCGTGCAGCCCATCCACGTTCTGACGGGCGGGGGAACGGAGGGAAGAGGAATAATCAATGCACGACGGGCATGGCGGATGCATGGGGAGGAATTAGCAACGCACGAGGGGGGGGGGGGGGGGGACTGCATGGAACGGCGTGGTCAACACACGAGGGAGAATGCAGAGAGGAGCAACATGCGAGTGATAAGAGCACTGCTTCCACCCCGGGGGAAGCTCTGCTGCGTGGGCCATTCACAGTCCACTCTGGTGAACATGTGCGAGTGCAGGGGCATGTGGCAGGCGCACACATGAGCCGTCAAGCCGGCAGATGCAATGAAAGCAGCAGGAGGGAGTTTGGCATGGCAGCAGGCAGTGACCCCGCAAGCGTGCCAATCCCCCAGCCACCTGTGTGATGAGCGTGAACGCCCTCCCCTCGTCCCTGCACCGATGCTCCAGCCGCACCAGCGCCACGTGCCCCGCATTCGGCGAGCACCGCGACACCACGCACCTGCAAGACAGAGAGAGTGCAGTGCACGGGGAGGGGCACAAGGATCAAGGAGAGTCACTAAGGGGATGGGGTGCGAGGGGTGGGTGCAGTAGGGAAGGGAGTGAGTACCTGCGGTAGTGGTAGAACTCCCACACCACGGATGGATCAGCAGCAAAGGCTTGCGGCGTTGCCAGCTCCTGAATGACATCGCAATGAGGGCGAGCACATGAGAAGCATCAAGGGAAGAAACGACAAAACGAGAAGGCCCCCTATATGGCGTCCTACATGGCGTCTGGCGTGGCGTCCTCATTACCAATCACCGCATCTCACGATTAACCCACCATGGCCGAGCATCCACCGTGCAGAAATTCTAAGCCAACACCATACCATGGCGTCGTACGTGCGCCACAGCCCGCCCGCCCCTCTGAAGGTGGCCACACCCGACGCCGCCGACACGCCCGCCCCGGTCAGCACCGCCACGCGCTGACAGGGGGACACGGGGCGGGGAGGAGGGAGGCAAGGAGCGAGGCGAGGTGGCTGTGAAGAGCTCATGGGAAGTGGAGTTGCGGCGCGGAAGCGCAGCGTCATTCCACCCAATGCGCTCACTTGCCCGCCCATAATCCCTGGGGCCCGCCCCCCGCCTTCCACTGCTCCCCGCTCGCTGTCCCTTATACCACACGTCCCCCCCCCCTCCCCTTCCCATGTCCACCCCTAGCGTCCCACGTCCCCCGCTCCCAACCCCCGCTGCCCTCTCCGAACGCATGCACTCTTCGTACCGATGCTCGCGACAGGCACTCTCTGAACTCGTCCACGTCAGCCTGACGTGGCTCGCCATCTGTCACGGCTGACGTCATCATCCGCAAGCTCCCTCCTCCCCAGCCAGTCAGAAGCTTCGCGCCCTTTCGACAGCGAGGCTGGCTTGGACTAGTATGTACGCACGCCGAAGCTGAAAACGCGCGATGCCGAGCGTGTTGAGGCTCGGACGAGGTGGCTTGGGTGAATCCGGGCCTCGGGGTTGGAAGCTGTGAGGGCGGAGAGCTGACGAGGATGCGCCGGCAGGCGGACGACAGGCGCACCGCCGACGAGCGCATGGCGAATGGCGGGCAGCCCCGCGATCAGCGACTACGACAACTCCCGAGCGATGCGACGGCGAGTGGCGAGGGCATCGCCGGTTGACGGCGCGACGACGCCGGCTCCAACGCGACGTGACGAGGGTGGGCAGCAGAGGTGGTGGCAGGCAGAGTGGAGGGGGAGGAGATGGTGAGGACGGGAAAGGGAGGGAGAAGCGGGTTGTGACGAGCAAGAGGGGACACCACAAAAAACAATCCACAACACTGCCAAATGAAGTCAATGTAGGGTTGGAAACTCTTTTAGGAGAAAGTCTAAGTCTTTTTCTGAATGATGCGTCACATGACAGCACATTCCATTAGACGTATGAAGAAGATAATCCCAAACTCCACGTTGGCTTTTGCCAAAGGCTATTCGGGTTTGAATAGGTGATTTCTTTAGTTTTATAAGAATAATCTGTCAAACATGTTTATTTATCATGTTTGTATAGACCGTATAGGGTAACCTCCTAGAGGGTACAACATTTAGGTATATGTGCTTGTACTCTCTCTCTCTAATTATTCATTTCTAGTTTTGAGATGGTATCACGCGTAGGTTTCGACCCCCCCCCCCCCCCCCTACCGCTTCCGCCCCTATCGTCGCGTCTCCTAGCCTAGCCTCGCCCCTCCTGAGCCCAGTCGCGACCCCCCCCTAGCCCCGTCGTTCTCCTCTCAGGCCCCGTCGCGCCCCTTCCAGGGCTTCGTAGCGCCCCTCCAGGCCCCGTCGCGCCCCTTCCCGGGCTTCGTAGCGCCCCTTCAGGCCCCGTAGCGCTCCTTCCAGGCCACGTCGCGCTCCTCCCAGGCCCCGTCGCGCCCCTTCCAGGGCTTCGTAGCGCCCCTCCAGGCCCCGTCGCGCCCCCTTCAGGGCTTCGTAGCGCCCCTTCTGGGCTTTGTCGCGCCCCTCCTGGGCTTGGTAGCGCCCCTCCTGGGCCCCGTCGCGCCCCTCCTGGGCTTGGTAGCGCCCCTCCTGGGCCCCGTCGCGCCCCTCCTGGGCCCCCCCCCCCCCCCTTAGCGGTCCTCCCTGGGCCCCGTAGCGCCCCTTCTGGGCCCCGTAGCGCCCCCCCCCAGGCCCCGTCGCGCCCCCCTCCAGGGCTTCGTACCGCCCCTCCTGGGCTTTGTCGCGCCCCTCCTGGGCTTGGTAGCGCCCCTCCCAGGCCCCCGTCGCGCCCCTCCCTGGGCCCCGTCGCGCCCCTCCTGGGCCCCGTCGCGCCCCTCCTGGGCCCCGTCGCGCCCCTCCAGGGCCCTGTAGTGCCCCTCCTGGGCCCCGTCGAGCCCGCTCGGCCCCGTCGCCCCAGCTCGGCTCCGTCGCGGCCGCTCGGCCCCGTGGCGCCCGCCCGGCCCCTGTCGCAGCCGCCCGGCCCCTGTCGCACCCGCCCGGCCCCGTCACGCCCGTCCGGCCCCGTCGCCCTCGCCCGGCCCTGCTGTGTCCTGCCCGGCCCCGTCGCAGCCGCCCGGCCTCGTCGCTGCCGCCCGGCCCCGTCGCAGCCGCCCGGCCCCGTCGCAGCCGCCCGGCCCCTGTCGCAGCCGCTCGGCCTCGTCGCTGCCGCCCGGCCCCGTCGCAGCCGCCCGGCCCCGTCGCAGCCGCCCGGCCCCGTCGCAGCCGCTCGGCCCCGTCGCGTCTGCCTGGCAACTCGTTGCGCCTGCCCGGCCCCGTCGCGCCTGCCCGGCCCCGTCGCGCCTGCCCGGCCCCGTCGCGCCTGCCCGGTCCCGTCGCGCCTGCCCCGGCCCTACATACTTCCCGGTACTGTCCCCCGTTCCCTGCACCACTTTGCACCCTCCTGCACTTCCCTGCTCCGCCTTGCACCGCATTGCACCTCACTGGACCGCACTCCACCGCACTGCCCTGCACTCCAACGTCCTACACTGCCCCTGATGGCTGCTGAGCTTCGTTTTGATGCTGAGGGTCAGCCTCTGGAGTTCGAGGCGTGGCTGGCTGACCTTCGCCGCCACCTCACTGGTCAGCGGCAGGACGGCCACCCGCTTTCCGACCACCTAGACGGTATGCTCCCCTGCCCTGACCCCCCTGCTGTGCTGCCCGCTGATCCCACGCCCGCTGAGCGCGAGTCCACTGCCGCCGCTGCCCTTGCCAGCTGTGTCTGGCTTTCCCGCGATGCCCTTGCTCAGCTCGCCATTAGCAATGCCCTCCCCCCCCCTGAGCGCCCTCGCTTTAGAACCATTACTACCGCCCAGGCCTACCTCGATGCTGTCATCAAGCGCTATTCTACCCCTCCTGCTGCCTCAGTGGGTCGCCTGATCCTCCCCCTGCTCTTTCCTGACCTTGCGTCTTTCCCCACTGTCTCTGACCTTGCTGCCCACCTGCGCTCGATAGATGAGACCTGGCGCGCTGCCTGCACTGATGCACAGCTTAGAGCCCACCAGCCCCCCATGACCTCTACCCTCTACCTCCTTGCCACTCGCCTCCCTGACCGCCTTGCCGCCGCCCGCGACCAGTTCCTTAGCATCCACCCCGCTGCGCTCACCCTCACCGACTTTGTTGACACCCTGACTGTTATAGAGACTCGTCACCGCTCCATCGCCCAGGCGAGCGGTACAGTACCGGTCCCTATCTTTCAGGGTTGTGCCCCCGCTCAGTGTACCTTCTCCGACGGCTCTGTCGCTGTGGCTGAGACTGCTGCTGCAGTGCAGTCCCGCTCGGGGACGGGCCGCCGCCCCAAGGTTGGGAGCGGCGGAGGCGGCGGGGGTGCGGGTGGGGGTGGTGGTGGAGTCGGGTCGTCCGGTGCTGGAGCGGACGTGGGGACCCTGCCCAGTCCAGCTGCCCCGCTGCCTCCACAGTCGCAGCAGCAGCAGCAGTCGCCGCAGCCGCAGCCTCCGCAGCAGCCGCAGCACCCGCCGCAGACGAGGCAGGCGAGTGCCCTCCCGCCTGGGTGGCCTGGAGCTGGTGGTGGTCGTGCGCGTGGTGGTGCGCCGGGTGGTGGTTCTGGAGGCGGGCGCTGTCAGTACCAGATCCAGACCGGTCCTCGCCGCGGTTTCGTTTGCGGTAAGATCGGTCATTCCACTCCTCGCTGTTTTCGTCGTCTGGACGACCTGTTCCGTCAGCGCTTTGGCCCGGCGCCCGACCTCCCGGACTGGCACAGCTTGCTTAGGCGTAGCATTCAGATTTTTGACTTGGACATGGATGCCATTGTAGCAGCCTTGCATGTGATGTATGCTGATGACTCTAGTGTGCTTCACTCTTATTACCCCGTGTTGCCTAGTGTAGATGTTCCTAGCGTAGACTCCCCTGCTGCGTCAGGCGTAGGATCTCCTGCTTTGCTTAGCCTCGGTGCTTCCACCGCTTCTCTGCCGCCTCGTGCGACTGCTGCGCTTTCCTTCACCTTGGACTCTGGCGCCTCCCGGTGTTTCTTCCGCGACTCCACGACGCTGACGCCGCTGCCTGTTCCCGCTGCAGTTACTCTTGCTGACCCCTCAGGTGGTCCAGTCGTTGCCCGCAGTTCCACCTCCCTTCCCTGTCCGGCGGTTCCTTCAGGTTCGCTCACAGGTCTGCATCTCCCCTCGTTCTCCAGGAACCTAGTTGGTGTCGGCTGCCTCCAGGACCTTGGCGTCACCACTACGTTCCCTGGTCACGAGCGGTATGCTGTCTGTACCGAGGCCGCCACTGGTGCCCCCCTTACCACTTTCCCCCGGGACCCGGTGTCCGGCCTGTTCACACTTGACACCGCGACTTCCCCGGCTGGGTCTTCCCCCCAGGTCGCTGCGTCCACCCAGGTTGCTGCTGCGTGCTCCTGTCGGTCCCTCACTCACCCGACTCTCCTTTGGCACCACCGCCTTGGTCACCCTGCACTCCCGCGTCTGCGTCACATGTCCCAGCACGGTCTCGTCCTTGGTCTCCCCGGTTCGTTCCCCGAGTTTCCCTCCTCCCCCGCCCCCCCGTGCACGCCTTGTGTCGAGGGCCGGCTCCGCCGTGCCCCTCACTCCTCCTCGTTTCCCCCTACCACCGCACCACTGCAGACTCTGCACATGGACGTTTGGGGCCCAGCCCCCGTCCATGGGCCGCGTCGCGAGCGCTTCTTCCTAGTGCTTGTCGACGACTTCACGCGCTACACCACCGTCTTTCCCCTGGAGCGGAAGGCCGACGTGCCTGACGTTCTCATCCCCTAGCTTGTCTCTGCTCGTGTCCACCGCGGTCTCCCTGCCTTGCGCCTCCACTCCGACCGCGGTGGCGAGTTTGCCTCAGGTGTCCTTGGTTGCTTCTGTCGTGCGGAGGGCATCACCCAGACGTTTACCCTGCCGGACTCCCCGCAGCAGAATGGGGTCGCTGAGCGACACATCGGTTTGGTCATGGAGGTGGCTCGCACCTCCATGATCCACGCCGGTGCACCCCATTTTCTGTGGCCGTTCGCCGTGCGCTACGCTGCTCACCAGCTTAACCTGTGGCCGCACCCCCAGCGGCCGCAGGTTTCGCCGACCCTTCTGTGGACCGGGTCCCCTGGTGACGCGTCTGCGTTCCACGTCTGGGGCTGCCTTGCTCACGTTCGTGCCTCTGGCACGGACAAGCTCACTGCCCGCACCCTCCCCTGCGTCTTCCTCGGTTTCCCCCTTGACGCGTCCGACTGGCACTTCTACCACCCGCCGTCTCACCGCTTCTTTCACTCTAGCGACGTCACCTTTGACGAGTCCGTCTCCTTCTACCGCCGCTTCCCCCACCGTGGTCCCCCGGTTACTCCCCCCCTGTTCCTGGTCACTCCTTCCCCGGTGGTCCCTGCCCCTCCCCCCCCCCCGCCCCCCCGTCCGGCCCCCTCTGGTGTGTCTCACGTCACCCCCCTCCCGTCGGTCGTCCCGGTCGACGAGTCTTCTGACTCTGGTAGTCCTCCGGTGCAGTCCTCGCCGTCTGTCCCTCCCCCGGTGTCTCCTCCTCCACCGCCTCCGCAGCCGCCGTCGCCGCAGCTGCTGCAGCCGTCGTCTCCGCCGCCGCCGCCGTCACAGCCGTCGCTGCAGCCGCCGCCGCCGCCGCCGCCGCCGCCGTCGTCGCTGCCGCTGTTTGTGGGCCCTGGGGGTGTCCCTTCTGGGGGTGCCAGTGTGGAGGGTTCGGGAGGTAGCCGTCGCGCAGCTTGTGGCCCTGGTGTTGGTGTTGTGTCGCCGCAGCAGCAGTCCCCGCCGGTGTCCGCCCTCCGTCTGCTCGGCCTTCCGTCCCTTGA